GCTTGGATCTCAGGATGCCCTCTCTGTCTATGACCTTGATGCAGTGATGCGAGCGATCAACTTGCTAGCAGATGATCTTGAGATGGTTGCAGTATGGAGAATACATCCAGCGCCCGTATCAACAGTGGCCGGCTCGTGATTAAGGCTTTTCCTTCCTTTATTAGTGTATTTCACCGTTGTTCTTGACGACCATCATCAACATCGAAAGACGGATTGCATTTTGTCAGTCTAGCTAGTGAGTGGCAGGGCAGCCTCTTTTGCTGGACCTCAGACCTTGGAACAGCGTACGAGGTAAACGTCGGTCGATCAGACCGGAGGAGTTTTATGAGCACCGCTTATCCACCAGGATCGGAAAGGGGGTTGATGATTTGCTGATTGTGGCCTTCATGTTCAAAGATGCTGCCAAACGTCTTTTTTCTCACAGGATGAGATTTGGGAGCCAAGCTTCAGTGGCTTCAAGGGCTGGCAGTTTGAGGGAATCGACAAGGAGTCGAAAGATTCACTGATTGTGGCCTTCACTGTTCAAAGATGCTGCCAAACGTCTTTTTTCTCACAGGAGATTTGCCAGCCAAGCCTCAAGGGCCGACAGTGTGAGAGAATCGACAAGGAGTCAAACTTTCAAGGCCAGCTTGTTTGTTGGAATGGGTGTTCAATGAGTGAATTAGGGCCTTTCCGACAGCTGCTTGAATGGCGCAATTTTCCTTTCTTTGCGCGAGCAAGATCATTCTGCCGTAGTGCTTATATTCTTGTATGTGTGTATATATATAGATGTATAGATGAGCTGCCACATTCACCCATCATATTTTCATCATCAATCAGAACATTGTCGGCGGGTGGGTATTGCCACTATTAAAATGATGTTTGTTTCAGTTAAACATCATGTTTCCCATCAGATGATCATTTTTGTGGTCACGACATCATTTCCCAAGCAGTGTGGTTGCACTAGGTCACCAGGGGTTCTTATGGTAGAGTTCAGGCTGGGTTTGATCGAGGGCGCTAAGCGTTTGGTTGTGGCGCCGTGCGCATTTTTCGACTTGGTGGTCAACCTCGAGTGAACCAAATATGTTCTGTTAGACGTGTGCCTTTTCACTTGTACTCTGATGTGTGTGTGCCGTCGTATTTGTGCTCCCTCATACTTGTGCTGTCATATGTGTGCCCTCATGTGTTTGCTCACATATGTGTGCTGTCATGCGTGTGCTCTCGTATGTGTGTTCTCCAATGTGCTCTACAAATGTGCGCTCCTTTATTTGTGTTCTATGCGTGTGCTCTAGACTCTAGAGTCTAGAGTGCCGAAGTTCCCTCATTCACCCTTGTTTCGTTCTACTTGGCACTGTTTTGGGGTCGTTGCCGGGATCACAGTCGTTTCTGTAACTCATCTGGGCTCTTTGCTATCACGACATCAATTTCCTTATTCCGAACTCTCCTCCCATTCCTTGCAAAGTCATATTTGCTTCATCTTCTTTGTCGCTGCATGTGTTCACAGTCATCACTGGTTCTGTCATCGCAAACATCAACGTCATTTTTCCGCAGTAGTTGGAATTGGACAACTTCCCACAGAGCTTGACAGAGCAACAAGTTCCGCAAGAAGTGGTGCGGGCGGTGGGTGCTGCTGTTGTTCCTCCTGCTGCTGCTGCTGGTGGTGGTGGCGGTGGCGGCGGTAGGAAGACATGTGTGCAGAGGTGAACTCGTGAACTCAGAGAGGATGCGCTCTTAGGGTCTTACCGAACTAGTTGGGTGTTTGTCGCGCGGTATGTTGCAGAACAAATGTTGGCTTGAATTTTTGTCAGCGCTACTAAGACTAAAGCTTGGCATACCAGAGCCAGAACCTTTTGCTTGTAAGTTGTAAAGCATCAAGGACAGTTTCAGAGTGCAGCTTTTGATGAGGCACGGGACAATCTGTCTGAATTTGACAGCTTTGCCGTGGGAAGCACGCTGACGGGAGTCGGAGGGTGCGGTCCAAGGATGAGCTCTGCTAATAGCGATGATTTGGTGGCTTTGTAGCGCGTGATGCAGAACCAACATGGTTCCCCATGCGGTTGTTTTTGACGCAGCAGTCCTGCCACAATCCCCAGGTGATGACTTGGGAGTTTTCATTCAGGTTCTGCAAACCTTTGGATCTCATTTCCGCTTTACCTGCTTCTCAGAATTTTTGCAGTGACTAGTGGGGAGCCCATGGAGGCAGTGGCTTACGCTGGATCTTTTTCCCGAAAGCGTTGCGAAGGGTTCTTCCGGAAAATCCCTTGAACACTGACACTTCGACACTTACACTTACACACTGACACTTCCACACTTGCACTTGAACACTGACATTTCGACACGTACAGTTGAACACTTACGCTTCCACACTTACACTGGAACATGAACATGAACACTTGCACTTCTATACGTACCCCAGTGTAAGTGGAAGAGTGAAAGCATCCAACGGCAAGTACCCCAGTGCAAGTGTAAAAGTGTAATGAGTATGCAATGAGTATGCAAGTGTGAGTATGGAAAACTTGCACGGGAGATGTCCTAATGAAAAACATTTCCCCACTTTATAAATTCTCTCTTAAAGGCGGAGGGTGGGACGAACAGCGTCAACCGAAAATGCAACCCTCTGCGGAGATCCTGCGTGTCGAGTGCGCGAAATGCAGGCGAGAGTGCGATTTGCCTGGTGTGCGCGCAACCCTCTGCGGAGATCGTGCGTGTCGAG